GACCTTCCTATGGCATCTGTAGTTACATAAACCTTACAAAAGGCAGGACAGAAATTCAATGTAGTGAATACATTAAGCATAACAACAATTTTTGTGTACATAATATGCTAATGTACAGAAATCCTATAAAATTATTTGTCTAACATCACAGAAATATCCATTTTGGAGGAAGGGAAATAAACATACCGGCAATATTTTATTATTGGACTATTCTTCTTCCCCTAATTCATTATAAAGCTCTGTATAGCACACCATCAAAAAACTCACCTTTATTCACCAGTTGAAATTACATAAGCAATTTCTTAATCTTTAAAAAAAAGGAAAAAAAGAAAAAATAAAAAGATTCTGCTACTCTTGAAAGAAAAAAAATATATATACATTTTCTTTAAAGTATTGTTCTTGCTGAAACTGAAACTGTGCTATTAAGCAAATAATATTTACATGCTGATTTTTTTTTTAAAGAAACAATCAAAAAGTGTCATATTTAATAATATACAATTATTCATGATATAGATGGGAAAATGCCCATAATAAACTTAGACCTCTTTAAAATTGTTCAGTGCAATGTAGTACAGTATCAAAGTAGCATGACCTGTCTTGCAGAATGGTTTTTCAAGAACAGTGTGTTTGCAGTTCAAAGGAGCAACAATGCTAGGTACTCTTCATAGTCCATTCTTTACCCATTTATGATGAAAATTTCATACACTATTTTTTTTTATTTATTTTTTTAATGTAGTCTAAAGGTCAGCCCTAACTCTGCTGCTATGAAATGCAAGACCTTTGTTGTTTCTTAATAACAATGCCAAGTAATAGTGCAGGTGTAAAATACTAGTTGTACATAAAATTTTACATACATAACTGGGCCTGGAAAAGTGGACAGGTTTGTAACATTCAGCTGTCTGTCCAACTACCAGGCATAAGTACACTGAAAAAAAAATAAATCAGTAAAAGAGATGGAAAACAGAGACAATATTTCATCAATGCACTATTAAGCTTTCTGAATCCCCACTCCTCTCTTCTTTCCTCTCCTCTCCTCTATTAATTTCCCTTTTCAGGGATTTAAAAAGTCTTGCTTCAGTTTCATTCCAAAATAGAGAAAAGCAGTTTTGGGGTTGAAATAATAAATATCACCTGTTTTTATTACTGTTAACTTATGGGGAAAAACATTATTCAGAAAGAGTATTAGACACTTAAGTATTAGACACTTATACCACGCTCAGTATCTCAGACCAAAACCTGTAATCTTAATAATTAACAAGACCCTTAGGAATTAATAAGTGCAATGTTGAACTTCTGTCCCCAGTACAGGATTAGCCCTTGCCCTACAGTCAGATTTGGCTCTACTTTCTCTGTCTTGTTAAATGTTCCCATGGAAATGTCATTTTTTCCACCCTTGCAAAGTACAATTTCATGAAGACATTACTCCTACCTTGCAGTAGAAAAATCCTGTTGACCAAACCTACTCTTTTCCTCTGGGTCTAAACAGTGCCAAGTACACATTTGGTGTTCAATAAATAAATTTCTGCATATCATTATGAGATTGCATTTGAAATATGAACTGATGATAGCTCTCCTCCTACACAACAAATTAGATTTGCTTAGCACTACATTCAATATATATATATCCAGGATGCCAACACCTGTCTCTAAAGTGAAGATATAGTCTAAAGAGATCTAAAATAGTCCATATTCAAAGACTATATAAAGCACTCATTAATACATGGACTCACACCTTCACTGAAAAAATAAAAAATATAAAAGTAGGGGGAAACATATCAAGAGATCTAAACATGGTTTCTAAAGCATTGCAATAGATGACTATTGGTGTCACTCAGTATGTTGATTCCACCCTTACTTCCCATAATATCCATTAATTTTGGTCTACAAGATGAGTTTTGGTGGAAGGTGAAGGTGACAAGGATGTAACGGTTCCTCAAATCTGAGCAGTCATACTTGTGTTTCCTTCTAATATGTTCACCGAGTATTGCCAAAGCTCAGGCAATCCAGACGTTGCTTCTCTTAGCGCAGGACTGAGTTTAATTCTCTCTCCTGACCCCTTCTAGAAAGTGCAGAGCACCAGAGCACTGCTCTGTAAAACAGAGTAGGTTTCCAAAGTGTTTGATGACAAAAGACTGCAGTGATTGAATTACTGGGAATTAATTCTCTACTTTCTTGTAACTGATACACTCATAAAACATATTGGGGTGCATCATTAAAGATTTCTCCTGAGGACAACTTACCTCTGTGAAAATAAATAAATAAAAAAAAAGATTAAAACAACAAAATGAAACAACTTGCAACTCCATGCCCACAGATGAAACAAACAAGCAAGCAAACATAAAAAATACAAAAAAAAAAAAAAAAAAAAAGAGCCAAAGGCCAATGAAGGCCAATGCAGAACTTTTCAAAGCCTTCAACAGAACTTAGCTGCATTTGCTCCTGAACTGTTTTTTTGCACAGACACAAAATCCTCTCTCTCTTCTAACCAATACACAGTCCTGGAACTAACCCTAAGAAAAGAAATCCATTCTCGCTAACACTGCTCACACTGTAGTGTTTTATGCCTCCCCCATATGGCAGGTGAAATGCAAAATCATTCTAGTGTTAGCATTTGATATGACAACTGGAAACAAATGTTTCAGGGTGTTTTTTTTTTGTTTGTTTGTTTGTTTGTTTGGTGGGGGGTGGTTGTTTATCTTTTTTTTAGTCTCCTCATACTCCTCATATTAAATAATTTAAAGTTATTTGTTTTAACAACCAAGAGGGGGACAAACTACATTGATGTTTTTCTGATACAAGACATTCTGGGGCAAATTATGACCTTTATCTGTTCTGAATGCTGAAAACCCTTTTTATGCAGAACCTCTGGTATCTCTTTCCAGAGGTGCACTTTCCACAGTAGGAAGGTTGACTAGAGCTTGGTCACTGCTTTCATAATTACATGAGTATTGAGCACTGATTGTCATGAAACAGTTACTTCAGGGCAGTTTGTGACAACATATTTCTTCTGATGATTAATTTGCTCGAGTGAATAGCAAAACTTGAGACATTCATAGCAATCTCTCTGAGAACAATCCTGCTGACTTGCACAGCAGTGAAATTTATGGTGGTGACTGGGGAATGGGGTATTTTTTTTATCTGTTTCACAAGCATCTCAACCAGGGTTTTGTTTCAGAATGGATTACCATGGACTTACCTCTTCTTCCTTCTGTTGGCTACTTTTTTAGAATTCTGCTTATTGTGAGCATTTAGGTTCTCCAAATCCCTTTTCTTAGTCACGCCTTTTCCTCCTTCTGTCTTTTTGAGTACAAAGCATCTCTTTTGCTTAACAGGTCTGAATGTAACAGTGTTTTCTTCCTGCTCTTCCTAAACTCTACCTTCTTTGACATCTAAACTTCACACCATCTTTATCTCCTTTCTTTCCTATGAAGTTTTCACACATTCTTTTCTCTTTGCTCTTTCTCTCTTGTTACCTCAATTGAATTTGTATGATGCAGTTTGACTTCCTTTGTATTTTCAGTGAATTTTTCTACTCTCTAAGCCCGTCCACTTTTTCCTCTGCTCTAGGAATCAACTTCCATTTATTATGTATGTGTCCTGCGTGAGCTTCATACCTATTTGGGAGTACTGCACATACCGCCCTGTGGATTGACTTAAAACCCTTGATAGCCAGTCTGCAAAGCTCCTGTTGTTCCTTCTTTCAGTAAGGTTATAATTTGTAAATGAAAGGACTTCTCTGCACTGAACACATCCCACTTTACTGTCTCCAGTTCACTCTCAGGTTCACTAAGCTTCTTCCTCAGTTATTTATGCAATATACACTACCTCTGAGGATCTACTATAATTGCATCCAAAGTTAAGACTTTGTGTTCACTCAAGATATTTCTCTTTTTCAGGATTGTTGTCTTCAAGGTACTTTTTGTTATCTAGATCAGGTTAACGGACAAGGAATAAATAAACCATTTAGTCTGTCATGTTAGCAGTGTTAAACCAAACTGACTTCTTCCCACAGAATTCTGTTAAATACCCATGATGAAGTTTATAGCATGTGGGAATGAAATATCACAAATGACTTTTTGAGAAGTGATCTGCTGCACGCATTTTGCCTAAACTTTATTAAAGCATTTGACTAGATATTTCAACACATAGCACAGGAATTTGCACAATTAAGATGAAAATCACCACTGGGAAGAGAGCCAGCATAAGATCTCTGCAATATTCATATCCCATTTAAGTGCTCAGAGAGTAAATGATGACCAGATCTTATCTTGGTATCTGATCCAGGGATTAATTAAGTCCTCAAGTATTAAATTGTTTATCCAAGTATTATTTTTGTTTTTTTATCCAAGTTTAAGGTATGGTATTTAAGGCATTCATAGTACTGCACTGGGCTCTAACATTGGCATTGTTTTCACTTAACTTCATATCTACGTCTTAAAAGTCATCTAGCCTCCTTTTATTGCAAATGGAGAATTAAAGGCCCTTTCATGACATAAACTGTGAGCCCACCCAAATTTTAGCCAAGCAGTCAACCACAATGGTGTTTGCTTTGGCAAGCAGAGGAAGAAGACAAGTGTTACAGACATGGAGTATCAGAGAAAGAGAATAAGTTAAAATTGAAAATGTGGCCATCAGTTGATCTCTCACTGCTCCTTAATTTGTGTTGTTTGGCTCAAACTACTGGCCTTTACATGCTGGTCTAACTCCAAAAAAAATTGTTATAGACAAAAGGTTACTGTGCCATTTATTACGTAGATTTTTTTAGCTCTTCCAATATGTGTATATTTGGATAAATGGTGAGCACCTCTCCTTCATAGCCCTGTTTGCTTTAGCACAGGTCTGGTGAGCTATTGTATTGCTCCCACAGCTGCTTTGCACTATATCTTACCACTGCCACAGTAACATTCATGTGCATGGCCCTTTGCACAGCAGCTGTCACAGAAAGCTGAGCACACAATCACTTCTTTCTGTTTGCTCCTGTTGTTGTCGTGATTTATTAGGTACAAAGGCAGGAGACTGGCCCCGCACAAGTCGGAAATAGAATGTTTCACCCCAAAAGGGAGTATGGGGAATGGTGGGAGAGCTACAATGACCAGGTAAGCCAAAAGCAAGTGGCCTTAGGTCAGTGTGATATGTCTGTGAACAAGAGGAACAGCCCTGGGACAATGACAGCCCAGATCCTCTCTGTAATTCCTGTGCATCCCATATAGTATGTCTAAAAAGAAAAAGAAAAAAAGTATCTAAAAGAAAACACATGGCCACTGCTGATTTCTGTGTTTCATCTGACTGCAAAAAACCTGCACCATGTTCATTTGAGTGATGCGAACCACGTGTCCTGTGTGATGTTGTCATAATATGGTGCTTTTGGGAGGAGAAACCACACCTGACCCAGTAGGACAGATAAAGAGAGACAGTATTCAAACATCAGCAGCTCCAGTGCCCCTTTAAAATGGTGGCCCCATTACATATTAGGGGCTATAATTTGTCTAATCATCAGTGCTCATAAAAAGAAAACAAGATTGATGAAAATGTTTTCAAAATGAAAATGTTGGTTCTTCCCAGTCAAAATGTCTTGTGGGAAAGTGCTAAGTTATACAGTGGTTCTAAGGAAAGGTTTCAAACACATTTTAAATAGAGCTCAGAACATATTTTTCAAAACTTTCTCCACTTAATCTAATTTTTATTTTTGGTTTAGACATATGTTAGATAACATTATACGTTAATGCTGTGACTTTAATAAATATTATGTACGACATTTTTAAGTGTTCCTGGGATGAACCATTTTAATATGGACATTTTTATGTTTTTGCAATGAATATTTTGCACAACTTAGTTCTATGAAATATTTGGAGGTTTCAATTGTCCATCTCATTTTGAGTCCAGTCAGATTTCTAAATGTTTGACTCTACCATACGACAGAAAATCCATTTCTCCATACATCTCCATTAAAAAAAAATGAATAAGCTACTTGTGTCACAGCCAGTTTTAAACCTAAATAAGGGTATCAAAAAGTGATACTCTTAATAAGCATTGTATCTTTATGTTGCATTCTACAGTTAAAAACATTTGCTTTACTGTTTATTAAAAGATCTTTATTGACCCCTGCAAGGTTTTTGTAAATGCATCCATTGAGCACAGTTTGACCAAATTATACCTTTATTTTTCCCAAGTGTTACATCACAGGTGGATTTTATCACTGTAGGAGGGTGTTCAGTGAAACACTCACAGTGTTACATTCCCCTAGGGTGCAACTATATCCACTCATGTACATAAGGCTATCAGCTATAATGCCACTTACCACACACCTGGGGGATTCCTGTATTTAAGTAACATTAGGAATGTTCATAACTATGTGGTGTACCAAATGTATACAGCCCTGCTACTTTTTGTCAGCCGGGATTCTGTTTCTTGTCTGTGTGATGTCTAGATTTTTATTTTTTTTCCTACATTGCATTGCCTTTGGTGATAATTATTCTTCTTTTTAAAGTTATCTGGAGTTACTATATAACAGAATTTTGTAGAGCAGAAATGTACATGTCAAACAACTGTATTTCATTGTACAGTATTCAGCTTTGTTTTTCCCGGCCATATATAAACACTTGAAAAACTTCTTTTTTATATTTTATATCTTCACAGTGAAGAATCTGTTTGCATTCCAGAGAGTAATCGGTCTGAGTCAAGTAGAGATGAGAAAGAGGTTCCTGTTAAAGAGGATGCCCTAACAGGCAAAAAGACTGGAAACTGTGTCAGTCTAATAGTGCCACAGCAAGACTGTCAGCTGCAAGACCTACTCAAACAGTTAAGAATATGTGCTGCTTAACAGAGAGTGCAATTGCATTTGATGGCTGTGTTATGTTGTCTCCAGCCACAGTGTCCTGGCCAGTGGTCCTGTCAAATTTTGTGAGCTCAGTAAAGTTGCCACTGAGTAGCCTAGGAACCTCCCAGAGAGAGCACAGATGTTGCAGGAAGGAAAGTAGGTGCAGATCTTCTGTCTCAGTAAGTACCAGACCAGTGCTGAACATCACTGTGATGAAGTACACATGGAAAAAGACAGATACAGGCATCTGACCACATATGGAAAATGAAAAGATCCTGTCATCTTTTCTTGCTTGTATTGTAATGGCAATGAAGAGGTCCCATGACACTGACCAACTCCCAGTTAGCCTAAAAAAGTCTGTGCAGTTTCATCTGGACAAGATTGTTCAGCTCATGTTCTCAAATCCCTGATGCAATATCATTTTTGTGTTCCAAATCTAGTGGATATTTTTCACACTGGGGCTTAATGATCCCTGAATATGTCTTACAAATAGCATTTTTTTTTTTTTTCCCTCAAGGTGAAAAGTGACATAACTTAGTAAATGGGTATGCTTTGAAAAGCAATTCATGATTAACAGAGTTACTACATCTATAACACCAGTAAGCACCATTCACATATATCAGATAAAATCAATTATGGAATGGGGTGTTTTATGAGGCTTTCACAAAGCAATCATCAAGACATTGTCATATTTGCATTTTTGGTTTGATTAAATGCAACAAATAAGAAACTGCTTAATTCAGTGTAGTAATTGTTTTGCCAATATACATACGTGTATGTGCCTGTAGTTATTTATCAGGCATGCAGAACACTGGAAGTTCCTCCAATCGTGTGTGCTTTGCAGAGGATGGAATTCCGATCAATCCTTGTTTCCTTTTTTCTGGGTATAAAACTAGGAGTGTTAAATCCTTTTATTTTTTTTTCCTTCCTTTATATTTTTTCCTTTTTTTTTTTTTTTTTTTTTCTCCTTAATTTGCTTTTCTTGTGCACTGGTTGTGTTTCTAATTTCAGTCAGTGCTAAGCTGATGTTTACTATTTTTTTCCCATTTCAGTTTCATACCTTTAGCAAATTATCATAAAGTCCACTGAAATTAATAACAGAACATGTCAGCTAAGCAATGTTGAAAACATCTTAAAGCTCTGTGCATCAGGAAGCAGAACTGACAGTTCAAGAAGTGGCATTCTTCTCTCCCTATCTGGTTGACAGGATGCTCCAGTGTAGCAGAGATGTGCTCAGAGATGCTTGAAGTAACATTTTTCAGATGAGAAGTAAAACCCAGCACTAGCTGCCTTGATTAACAATTGAGATGAATTCTCTGTAAGAGAGGGAAAAAGTTATGTCTGGTATTGAAATCATTTTTGCATTTTAGGTCATGACAATAGAAATGTTTCATTCAGACACCAGACACTTTGTTTCCCTTTCCAACCAGGCCTGCTGCTGAAACAGATGCTAGCATTGCTGCCACTGGTGGCTATGCTGGGAGGTCAATTGCAAAAGTTCTGTCTGCCAGCTATCCCTCGCTTTTTATTTTTTTTTATCTTCATAGATTATAGTTATTCTTGTAAATATCAGCTGTGACTTCCATGAGGAAAGGAGGTAATGTCTGATTACAATTCAAGGAGTAATAATAGTAAACATCCTTGTCCTTGTAAACAGAAAAGCACTTTTTTGTTTGTTTGTTCACAACGTGATTGCAAAAGACATTTACTTCTAGTACTTAGTACAGGACAAAATGATCTTTTCCCTGTATCATTCTTTTGTGTTTCATTGTTATTTATCTCCACAGAACAGACAGCTATTTAAAATAAGAGAGAGGGCAACAAGATAAACCATTATAGTGGTAGAACTGAGCTAGTTTAGCCACCTTCCAGTTCTGTATCCTTTCAGCCAGTTATCCAGGTTGTCATGCAGTCACAAGAGAAACTACACAATTCTTTGTATAAGGTCAGAGGAGCACTTCTCTTCAACTACTTAGTTCATTTCAGTGTTGTTGGCATGTTACAAGGCATTTGCATGCTCTGAGGGATAAAGAACAAGGGTCAATACAAGCAAAATGTCTGTTAATCTAAGTGGACTGGCAAGACTAGAGAAACACACTCATGTGCCCATACTTGCACATGTTGCAGGCACACACAATCACCTCATCAGAAGTTTTTAATTAAATATACAGATGTCACACAAATCCTTTTCAGGCAGAATAATTATATCATTGAGTGATACCTCCTTACCACTGTCAGCTACTTCTATGGAAAAGCCAGGAGCAAGGAGGGACGAGGCTCCCTTAAGCACAGAAGACTGTCCTTGATACACAGGCTTGCTCTGCACAGTGTTGGAGCAGTAACTCATCATCACCTTCTTAAAAATAAGATGTTGCTTCAAGTTGGAAAGCAACGCTCTACTTTAGCCACTAAAGTAGCCACTAACTTAGCTACTAAATTTAGCTAAAAAAAAAAATAAAAAATAAATAAATAAATAAATAATAAAATAAAATAAAATAAAATAAAATAAAATAAAATAAAATAAAATAAAATAAAATAAAATAGACCAATGAATGTTCTGAAACATGAACTTTCACCCCTGGACTTATAAATTAAATAATTTTAATTCTTATTGTATTCATGTCAACAGAGGTTCCTTACTGATCATAAAATTCTCCTTTATTTTTTTCCACCTTCTTTTTTCAGATCTATCATTTCAAATCTGGAATCAGATACTAATATTTTTACATGATAGAGTACAAAACTTCTCTTAATTTTTTATTTTAAACTCCACCAATCCCCCTTGTATTCCAGTTTTCACAAGTGAAAAGTAGAATGGCTCAGGTTGGAAGGGACCTTAAAGACCACCCAGCTCCATCCCCCTGCCATAGACACGGACACCTCCCAACAGACCAGGTTGCTTAAAGCCCCATCCAGCCTGGCCTTGAACACTTCCAGGGATGGGGCAACCACAGCTTCTCTGGGCAACATGTGCCAGTGCCTCACCACCCTCTGCAAGAAGAATTTCCTCCTAACCTCTAATCTAAATCTCCCTTCTTTTCATTTAAAAGCATTCTCCCTTGTCCTGTCATTGTCTGACCAAGAGAAAGTTTGCTCTCCATCTTTTTATAACCCTCCTTTAAACATTGAAATGCTTCAATGAGGTCATCCCAGAGCCTTCTTTTCTTCAGGCTGAACAGCCTCACCTCTCTCAGCCTTTCTTCATAGGAGAGGTGTTCCAGCCCTCTAATAAACTTTGTGGCCCTCCTCTGCGCCTGTTCTAACATATCTAGATCCTTCTGGTTCTGGTGGCCCCAGACCTGAATTCAGCACTCCAAGTAGGGCATCACAAGGGTAGAGTAGAGGGGGACAATCCCCTAACTCTCTCTGCTGGCCACATTGCTTTTGATGCAGCCCAGTATACTGTTGGTCTTCTGGGCTGCAAGTGCACACTACTGACTCGTGTCAAGCTTTTCATCTACCAGAATCCCCAAGTCCTGCTCTCAATGAGTTCTTCTAGACTGTGCTCACAGCTGGGATTGCCTCAACCCAGGTGCAGCACCTTACACTTTGACTTGTTGAACCTCATCAGGTTTACATGGGCCCACTTCTCAAGTTCGTCCAGGTCCCTTTGGATGGTATTCCTTCCTTCTGTTGTATCAACCGCACCACTCAGCTTGGTGTAATCTGCAACCTTGATGAGTGTGAACTTGATCCCACTAAGTCATTGATAAAGGTACAGCACTGGTCCCAAGACAGCCTTCTGAGGGACACCACTCATCACCAGCCTCCACTTGGACATAGAGCCATTGACTACTACTCTCTGGGTGCAACCTTCAAGCCAACTCTTTATCCACTGAATGGTTCACCTTTCAAATCTCTCTCTCTCCAATTTGGAGATCAGGAAGTCATGTGGGGCCATGTCAAAAGCCTTACAGAAATCCAGGTAGATAATATCAGTCAGTCTTCCCTTTTTGATTGATGAAGTCACTCCATTGTAGAGGGCCACTAGATTGGTCAGGCATGATTTTCCCTTGTTGAAGCCGTGTTGGCTGCTGGATCACCTTCTTGTCCTGCATGTGCCTTGGCACTGCTTCCAGGAGGATCTGTTCCATGATCTTCCCAGGCACAGTGGTGAGGATTACTAGTCTGTCATTCCCCAGGTCCTCCTTTCTACTCCTCATGAAATGGGAGTAATGTTTCCCTTTTTCCAGTCACTGTGGACTTCACCTGACTTCAAGGACTTTTTAAATATGAAGGAGAGGTTTGGCAACTTCATCAGCCAGTTCCCTCAGGACCCTGGGTTGCATGACATCAGGCCCCATAGATTCATACTTGTTCACCTTCATCAGACGGTCTCAAACCTGCTCTTCACTTACAGTGGGAGGGACTTTGCTACCCCAGCCCTTGCCTAGAGGTTCAGGGAAATGAGAAACCTGACTGTCAGTGGAGACTGAGGCAAGGAACACGTTGGGTACCTCCACCTTCTCCATGTCATAGAATCATAAAGTCATAGAATCAAGTCCATTGCTACCAGTTCTCCCTTCTAAATATAAATACTAAGTATGTAGCTATGCATTCTAAGCTTTCTAAGAAAATACTAAATTCCATAATTTTAAACTTATTTGACTATTTTATTTAAACTTATTAACAAGAGTATAAGTGACTTATTTTCAAGTTAAACATAGTTTCAGTAACTGTCCCAATGCTAGTAACTAAGCACATTTTATCAGAATTAATTTTAGCAGCTTTAGGAGATTAATGAGAATGGCACACTTGCTAAAATACAAGGGGTTTCAGCTGCTGTGACTGTCAGTTCCACTTCCTGATTTCCATTTCTTCTGTATTTTGAAGGACTTCACAAATCACAGTTGCTTGAATGGCAGCTGGGTAATCAGCTAACCCTGGTGGCAGAGGTATGCACTGTTTCATAGAGAATCATAACACAGAGCAAAAAATATGAAACAAAACTGCTATATCAACCAAAACCAGGGAAAAGTGATCTATTTTGGATGTGGAAAGGAAAGGAAAGGAAAGGAAAGGAAAGGAAAGGAAAGGAAAGGAAAGGAAAGGAAAGGAAAGGAAAGGAAAGGAAAGGAAAGGAAAGGAAAGGAAAGGAAAGGAAAGGAAAGGAAAGGAAAGGAAAGGAAAGGAAAGGAAAGGAATAAAAGATATGTAATGGAAGGGATTTTTTTCAGAGACTTCAAAAGCTCATTTATACCACTTTCATTTCTTGTACATGTGTTATGTATAGAAGACTGGGAAGAAAACTAGCTATCAAAGTCAAAGCAGCTTTTAGTAAGGAGACAGAAAAAATAATTAGTGTGACTGGTTCTGAGGAAATCCCTATTGTACATAAAACTGAGACTAACTAACCCATAGTGAAAGCAGTGAAAAAAATGTGCCATGCAAAAGACTTTAATATATGTGTATGTATATATCTTGCTAACATTTTGGTTTGGAATTATGTCACTAATTGGAGTTTGTTCATCTCCAGACATGACCTGTACTTTGCTCTGCTCCAGTCAGTGGACCGTGCCAGTGGAAAGGGAAGAGCAGAATAAAGAAACATAACCTGGATTCAGATTGACTTAGTAGAATTATTAGGGAGCACAAAAGTGTAATTCTGTTGTTATCAACTGAGAGAGCCAAAATCTGTTTGAAAGAAAACTCTAAACAATTAACTGACCTAAAATTTCCAGTCACTGAAAGGAATATGGAACAGTTGGTCATAATAAATGTAAACAATTGGTTGTGATATTACATTAGGAGACATTGGAATCTATGTCCTTGCTGTATCTTTATTTCTCTAAGTTGTGTGCATTGTGGTGGTTTTCAGTTAACTTGACAGAGTAACAGTATACAGTTAGAGCAAGATCTTAAAATTTCACCCCTAAAATTTACCCTTAACCCAGCCTCATACCTCCTGAAAAGAAATGTTGTTGCTTTCATACAGATGACAAGTGATTGCACATCTTGGTCAGGTGCTGATTTTGTAGTAAGTAGGTGCAACATGATAAATGGAATGATACATTTATACTTTTAACCACAAATATTTTAATGAAATTTATACTAAACAGCCTCCGGGTCTCCTTTAGGGCCCCAGGGTATCCATTAGGACCACACACATGGCATGATTATATCTGGGCACAGCACAAAGCCCTTAAGTGAGTGCATCAGTCAAGACTGACCCAAAATCAAACTGGGATTTAGGGGGTCGGTAACAGCTGTTCCACTGAATATTTAACTGCTAGCTGGATGCATCCCCAGATTTCATCATTTTTCTTTCCTCAGGCTCCTCAGCCTCATATCACATGTCCTCCTTAATAAATGTCTCCTGACCAGGGAGGGAGTAATATGGTACCTTTGCAGCCTCTTACAATCTGATCTTCATTCAACTGAAAATGTCTACGTGCTTTTAGTGTTTAGTTACCTACTTATATTCATAGAGTTTGAACTTCCTTGCTGAGCCAATGTCAATCATGGAGGTGTGCTAGAGTATTGTGCTTGTGGTAAGTGGTGTACAGACAAAGCACAGCTTTCTTTGGGCAAGTGTTTCTATCTGTATTGGCAAATTCTCCATGTTAATAGAATTTATATTGTCCCTGTGGCAGGCAGATCTGTCACAAACTCCTCTGAGCTCTGTGCTCATCAGGAGTTAAGAGACCTCAGGTAGGACACCCAGGACTGGAACTAGGCTCTCTCATATTGTTAGATCAAGATTAAGAGTGCTGGGTGACACAGTCTCCTGGTCCAGCTCAAATTTGGCACGAGTTGGGGGGAAGTCCTATTATCATCATCATAACAGAAATAGTGGCAAGATTTTCCCTCCCAAAGTATCTAAATTTGGGTCCTGCTGCTGGCACTGAACTATCACTGAGCTCAGGACTCAGCATGACCAAGAATCCAGGGCTCTCAAATGGCTCTGTGCACCTGCTGGGTATCTGTGCTAATGAGAGAATCACACAGTCCTCAAGAGGAAATGGTTTCTCTCTGAAAGACATTAGCACAAGCTCCTGTTCAGCTCAGAATCACATCGACAGAGATGCAAAGAGTTGAAGTGATTAGTGCTACAGGTTAGATTTTGCTTTTTCTGCTTGCTCTGATTGAGGTACAGCAAAGGGTGTATCGTAAGAGCAAGCTGCAAGCCATCAGATGTTCAATCTGGCATTTTGGAGGTAGGTGCGTAATAGTCATTTACAAGTTCTGGAGAACAGCCTAGTGAGGACTGCAATAAAATGATGAGCCCTTATATACTCATGCAGATTATCTCCCAGTCTAGCCTGTCTTAAAATATCCCCTGTTTTACATTGTGTTTGTCTGCTGGACTTTGTCATGTTGCTTTTGAAGGGGAGAGCTGTTGGCGTATGTTGTGTTACATGACCCATAGTAATTCCATATAATGCAGTCGTGGATGTGAACCTACAAGAGGATTTTGTTTACTGTCAGCACACAACCTTTTTCTTAGATGCCTGGAAGAGTTATTATACTGATAGTGCCTCCACATGAAAGCTGGTATAAAGTCATTTGTGTTTAGTAAACTGTGTCTTGCAAACTGTTTCACTGCAAGCTATCATGTCTGAGTATATCTATTTCAGGCTAAAAAAGCAAATAAACGAACAACAAATTTGTGACACTTCAACAGGGTCTCCAATTTACTCATATTTCCAAAAATCCTAAATGGCTGTTGCAAATGTTCTAGAAATCAAAGTGAATTGTTTAAAGTTCTATTGTATCATATATATAGATCACATTTATCTGTATGTGGAGACTATGTTTTCCCTGTTGACATCATTTCAGAGTCATTGTCTGTTTCAGCTGAGATATTGCTAATGGTCTTTCTTAATCCCAAAATCTATAGGTATGCATAAGCAATAGCTCTTCGGTCTAAGGATGAAGTAAAAGGAAAGGAATTATTGCATAGTGTTGTTTTTATATGCACCATAGCTGGCTTTGCTCCATGAGATGTTGCCATAAGCAGGAAGACCAGAAAAATAAGCAACTTTGATGAAAACCAGATCATGATGGGATCTGAAGAGAAGTGACTCTAACAGGACTCATTTTGGAGGAGTGTAGAGTAAAATGTCTATTTTTGTCTCCAAATGCAGGCCACCATGAGAAACTACGTGTATACCTTGACAGTCCATCATTTCCTTCTTGAAAGACATTCTCTGAGCTGACCTGCAATTAAAAAATTAGCTTCTTTAAACTAGTGGTGGCTAACCTACCAAGTATTTTTACCAAGAAGAGGTCAGCCACCAGAAACGTTTCTCCACACACAACCAGTATAGCCACTTTCTGAGTATCAGTCCAGTAATTCCAGTCTTGTAAACAGATTTGCTCCCAGCCATAACAGACTACACTTCTCCATATCCAAATCTATAACCCTTGCCCCATACCACAAGCCATGGTCAGCACCCTACACCAAGCTCCTTACTACTGAATGCTCCCTGGCTAGTGTACTTAACTGTTCCCTGCAGCCAAGCCAATCCAAGTCTCCTGCTTATTCCCTTCAAGCATTTACCTTTTCCTCACTCTTCGATGCAGCCCTCAGTCCCACAGTCTCCCTTCACAACACCAATCCAACAGTAGGAAAACCACCAAGCTGCTCCTTCCACCAGGACAGGCACCAACCATGCCCCAGGGGTAGCATCAGAGGGGTCAGCAGTGGCCATGAGCTAGCACAGAGTAGCTTGATGCACAAGTGGCCTGTGCAATAAGCTGGCCCACTCTGTTATTTTTTCCAGAACATATAGGTATAAATGATAGATTTAAATATATCGCAATACGTAGACATAGATAGATATAGATATAGGTGATATAGATATAGATTATATATAGATAGATTAAATATAGATAGGTATATATGCATATAGATATAGATGATATACATGATATAGATATAGTTTAGATATATATAGATGTAGATGTAGGTAGATATAAATATAGATCTAGATTTAGATAGATATTTTATAGATATGGATATGGAGAGATGAAATTACAGTCAGCTTTATAATAAATGTGAACTCTGGGATAACACATATCCATGGTATAGGTACATTGATTATACTTTTAACTTTGATGCAAGTTACCATCTGATCCCATTTCTGTTTACAGCTCTAATGGGAAATCAGTTTCCTGGGCCCAGAATGAGAAAAGCAGCAGAGGAGCACACCTTTGGCAGAGGCTATCAATCCACATCAACAAAAAAGAGAACCCCAATCAAACTGCAGTGATCAAGCCTTTCTCAAAAAGCACAGATAGTAGCCGACACAGTAGCAGTGCTACATTTCCCGAGTCCAGTGCCAAAACACTTTATGATGTTTCAGAAGCAGAAGAGCAATACCCAGCTCAGTACAGACCACAGACTCCCTCACCTGTCAGCACCGTGAGCCACAGAACTGCTTCTGTTAGCCGAACAGAAGATGATGCCCCTACTTTCCAGTCAGAGCCTCCTCAGCGAAGTAGCTCCTCTCAAGGCTCCCTCATGGAGCAGATCAGTAGTGTGGTTACTCGTTTTACAGCCAATATCAGTGAGCTGAACTCTATGATGCTTTCAACAGCCACTCCAGGGACAATGGTGGCCACTCCTCTCTGCTCTTCATACCTGATTCCACGGGAAATCCAGCTCCCTACAACGATGACCACGTTTGCAGAGATCCAGCCACTTCCTTCCATTGAAGTAAACGGCGCTTCGCAGTCAGCCAGGAAACCTTCAAATGGCAGCGTCAAAGAAGGCACCTCAGAGACCCCATCAGCAAAGCAAGACCTTGAGGAGTTAGTAGCTTTAACTCCTCCTTCTCCTTTTAGAGACTCCATTGATTCTGGAAGTGCATCTCCCAGCTCTCCAGTTTCTGAATCAGCTCTCTGTATCCCATCCTCCCCAAAGTATGACACCCTCCTCATCAGAGATTATACTCAAAGTTCTTCTTCGCTGTGAATGTAGTTCAAGAAAATGTTGGATCTCAACGACTACAAGCAAGTAGTGAGGGACAAGTCGAGCCTTCAAGATCTCCAGTGTTTACTCAGAGTGAGAGGCGTTGGGTCATCTTCTGAGAAACAGAGAGGAAGAAATGGAGTTACTTGATAAGTGGAAACATCAGATTAATGATGCTGTTTTAAAGACAAAATGACTCTTGGCAGATTATCGTGGCCTTAAAAAAACATGGGCTTTTCAGAAACACTGAATCTATTTTTGAGGGCTTATAAGGAGTCTGTTAAATCAGTTACATACCAAGTGCTTTGCTTTAGTATTACAATGAACTGTGTGTACAATATATATGGGGAAGGGGGGAAATTAGATTGTAAACAACTGTACAATGGTTTGTTTGTTTACTCTGATTCCTTACCCAGAAGTGAACCTTGATCTTTTATCAAGAATAGAAGACCAAACATTGAATGTACATTTTCTAACAGACTCAAAGACTCAAATCTGGGACCAACCTATCAAGCTTTCTTTCTTTCTTTCTTTCTTTCTTTCTTTTTTTTTTTTTTTCTATGAAGATCTCAAAAAGCAGTAATGTATGTTCAATAACTACCAAACATTTTGCTGAAGCATATTGTGTCTGTGATACGTTATATGTGGATAACACTAAGCTGAAGCTTTGCAGTGAGTGACTGCAATATGGAGGGCTTTACAAGTGACTTCTCAACTACACGTTTGTTTATGAAATTCTCTTCTATCAGTATTGAAAAAAATCAATTTGTTAACATTGGATTCACCTTCACAGCAACAGAACCCAAGGAAGATTTCCTGACTATTTCACCATGTTGCCAACTAATAACGAAGTAGCAAAAAATATTTTCTGGAGTACTGTTTTGTAATTCCCTTATCAGGGCAAGTTGTTGTGGTGAATATTCTCTTTCTAGCAGCATTACCAAGCTATATTATAGCTGCACTCCCTACTGAAATTAATACATTTTTATGGACATTCTTGTGCTAACATTGCCAGTTAAAACACTTATTCGGGCTCCCATAGTCTTTGCTTGTAAGGAACAGGTAAACACTCTAAGGATTTTCTCCATCTTTTGAATGACAGAATTCTAAGAGACCAATATGGATTATGATGAATGTTAACTGCCAGTGGAAATGTTGTCATAATCATAATTTATATGCAGAGAAAAAGCCTGTGTCAAAATCTGCTTAGAGGTGGTTTAGCTACTCTTTAATAAGCAAGAATTTTAACTTTATTTAGCTGCTGATGCCTTGCAGCTATGAACTGTGACAAAAATAAAATAAAAAATATTAAAAAAAAAAAAGACTTTCAAAGCAATACAGAGTAAAGGTTAAAGGAGAAAAGACCTAATGAGGTATGAATGAACAGAGTCCTATTTTTTCCTATATGAAGGTAGTACAGTTTAGTGCACTTCATACTGTCATGACACTTTTTTGATAAAGGCAGGAAAGGGATTTAAAGTTTGAATAGAAGCTAAATAATTTTTATTAGGTGTAGTTAAGTAGAACTGGTAAGTCAGGCCCTAAACGCACACCGTATTGGCTTCATGACACTACTCCATGACACAACTGTTCTCAGGTGCCAAACTTTTATGGGTTTTATTTTAATTAAGGATAGTATGAAGTGGTGAGTAATGTTCTCCAGTTCATAGTTGAGTTGATACAGCCTTATACAGAAGACAGTTTCATGGAAGGAAGCCTTTAAATAAGGCTTCTTTGTTTCTTTTCAAAATATTTAGAACTTATTTCTTCAAAAATATCAATCAAAATTCATACACATTTTCTCTCCCCAAAGTCCAAAAAAAAAAAAAAAACCACCACAAATATTTGAAATATTTGATACCAAAAAAAAAAAAAAAGATAAAAAAGCACATTCACATACTTTAGCAACATTTTCTGTTCCTTTTATAGTTAGTTTCGCCATTATGTGTTGCATTCCAATTTACTTCTCAACAACATTAAAAAAAGGACTAGATGAATGAACCCAGGCTAACAGCTCAAAGACATACCTTAAGGATTCTGTACATCCTGCACAAGGCAGTGTTATCCAATATCTAGTGTATGAGCATGTTTATTTTGCCAGGTACAGTCACTTTCTAGCTTTGCCTATAGCATGAACCAGCAGGTCACAACCCAGCTCTATTCTGGAATTCAGGTAGATACAAGTTATGATTGTAGGTCCTTGTTCCTTACCTTATTCTCTTTTCCTTGCACAAGTGATTAACACAGAATCAGTTCTGTGCAGCTGTGTAGTTTCCAAACCAGAGCTTGCTTTTGCCCTCCTGGTTCAGAGTACTAGCATGTCTCACCATTTGCTAGCTGCCCACATCTTTAGGAGAAAGCAGTTTCATAGGTTGCAACTCACATTTAAGGAAAGGGCATGCCCAATCAGCCTATTACACAAACATTCTCATATAGGGAGTCTAGACCACTTAAATGTTGTTCATGGCAGATTCATATGATAATGTATGTTTCCAATCAGCACTATATATATATATATTTTATATATATGTGGACTGTGATGAGATAATTAATGTGAATTTCAAAGGGATTCTAATTGTACACATTCTCTTATAATTCAAGCTGTTCACTAATGTCCTTACTACATCCTTCTTCAGCCTGAACTTTACCTAACCTTAAAGATCCTAATTTCTGAAGTCTTCTCCTTTGTTGGTAGACACTTATCCTACTAAATGGAAATAAGTGGGCTTCACTGCACTGTGAAATAATGAACAGTGGAAATAAGGATTATACAGAGAGATGTAAAAAATAAAAATAAAAAATAAAATAAAATTAGTAAAATGGAATGAGAAATAGAAGCTGTCAAACCATGACACAGCATAAATATACCTCTTATGCTAACAAATTGCAATTCTGCACAATCCTGGCCATAGCTATTGCTCAGAGATTCTTGACAACTTTTGTCTGTAATGCCAAGAAGATATATTTATGCATGTATGTGTGCATATATATATATGCACACATACAAAACACTTAATCTAAAGTCTGAGTGCGTATTTTCAGAGAACCCTAGTGTTACACTACCAAATTTCAAACACTTGCTTACTCTCACTTTTGGGAAGAGTTCTGTATCTTTTGTATATTTATCAGCCAGAGCAGAAATTTTAATTGCACAAGGAACCCAGGATGGACCCTGCTGTAATAGTACCTCTGTTATCAGTCTATACTTAATGACTGTTAGGTCAGCATTAGCTTCTTCTTATGAAGAAGTCAGAATGAATTTTAATTGTACACACTGGAATGTGACAACTTTACTTTAAAAATGTTTGGATTTTGCCAAAGGAGGAAAAATTTGTGGAGGAAGAAGATAACAATCATTTATTGAACATAGCAGTAATGTGCCCAGTAGGAGATTTGCAAGACTGAAAACTCCTATGAAAGAAACCGGTGGGTTTAATACAAGAAAGAAGAAAATTATGAGTGACAGACAATATGATTTCATTATGATGTTTGTATGCCACTCTCGTTTAAGGTTTTTCATCCATTAAAGCATTAAAGTAAAGGTTACAATCATGAACACTTTCCAGTGTAACTAAAGAATGAAAGAATGTGCAAGTACCAGATGAATGGCTTGAAATTGCCTTCCATTTTAGTTCTGCTGCCAGAAAGGGAATTAAAGAAGTTGAAATTCTTGTCATTCTTGACCACAGGAACCTCAGAAAATCATTTGTTTCTTTTGTGCTTGATGCCAACCCTGAAGATTGAAGGTGTAACCATCTTTGGAAATTATGATTCTGAAATATATGTGAATCAGTCTAGCAGGCCAGTTGGGAAGAAATATTAGCAATACTAAAGAAGATCTATATTTTTCAATTGGCTCTGAAGAATAATTGCATTAACTTTGGAGATGTCCTTCCTTGTACTTCTATCTGAACATTTGATGCCTAGACTCATACACATATCTTAGACCAGAGATTCTTAGATCATAGTCCGCAAAGCACTTGCTGATGCATCGTGGAAGTTTGATTGATCACAAAGTGATGTTTTTTTTCCTTTGATTTCCAGCTACAAAAATGAATTAAACGTTAAATGTTAATTAAAAATTAACTGGTAATAATAATAATAAAAAGTTAGCTTGCTTGGAAGTTTATTCAGTTGCTGGATTTGCAAAAGGAAAGCATTGTGATCAAAGCTGGGAGAATGTCTAATCTCCAAAAAGACTAAATGGGAGGGACAATCTATGATTCAGACTCTGGGTGATAGTAGAGTTCACTTGGGAATGTTTTCTTTAGAGAGGACAAAACCAGAAAAACAAAGCTGTGGGTGTAAATTCTGCAGAGGAAAGAGAGCAGCTTTGCTGTTTTGCTTAATAATTCATTTATGAAGTGAGAGGAAAGAAACATGAAAGGGACAGACAGCATACTGAAAATATTGGGTCCAATTACTGGGCTGACCAGGACTGGGCTGACAGGACTTTGGTGCCTAAAGTCAGGATTTCAGTGAAATTTAGTACCTACCTTCAAGACTCAATTTTAAAACCCCTGATCAGCTGCCACCTCACTCAGGCATCTAGCATTGCATCTCTGTATATTGTCAGAACTGCCCTCATCTTGACACATCTAAAGGTCTTTGAATCTAACTCAATGAAAAATCCATTAGAGATCTAGAAAATAGTGGTACCTAAATTTAGATTTCTGTATATCCCATGAGTAATTATACAGAGTTTACAGAACATATGTCAACAGGATTATAATCCCTATAAAGAAGAAATCTTCCTTTGTTTTAAGGTTGTGAATGTGGTCATGCTGCTGTTTAATAGTCTTGAGATTAGAGCACTCAGGCAGAAGGTGAGAGACCAAAACTGAGACCCTGCTATTGTCAGAGATGATTGAAGTCTCCTCCCTGGTAGGAAAGTGCTCTAATGACTCTGTGTCAGGGCACCCTCTGTTCATCTCACTGAGGTAACTTCACATTAAAGAAACACATTCAAGAGTTCCAGAGTAGAAAAAGAAGAGTTACTCTGCATGCTGATAGAACAATTGGTATCGTTAGGGATGGTATGACCATTTAATATAAAATACTTTTAAAATCTTGGAAGCAGGGACTAGGTGAGTATTTTAACTCAAAAGAAGTGGAGCCAACATTTTTTTCTGAGCTATAGATTGGCTCAAAAATTACTTAAATCTTCCCTGCAAAGTGCTTTAGGGACAGGAAGGGGGGATATACCCTTCCTTACCTCTGTGTCTGCAACCGTCTTGTCTTCCACCTGGAGTTCTGAGCCCTCTCCATGTGAAGAGAGAGTCTGAATCTTATTTTATGGGTGTAGGAATTAATCTTGGGGTTCCTGTTTCTTCTCTAAAACTGCAGAAAAGGAAAAGAAGAAAGAAAGAGAAAGAACAATAACAAAAAACAAAGAGCTCATTTGATTTTCCTCCAGCCACCTTTTACAAAGGCAACCCATGTCTTAACAAAAACTATACCCATCTGCAGAAATGGGTATTTTATGTACATTGCATTTTGATATGGTTTGTGTAGATTCATCTCAAGCATCGCTTTCCTTGTTGCATTGTTTTCTTGGGCACCAAGTTCTTCTTATGAATTTCACAGTAAGCATAGACTTTTAACAAAAGGTTCTGGCCTCCACATTAGAACCAGATACAATAAAAAAATGGGTGTTATATTGCATAACTTTAAGTGCTGAAGTCCTTTGCTGGCACTGGCCCTTAAACTTTTGAGGTCAATGGAATCACTCCAGATTTATATCCATGTAAAGAAAATCTATGATTGATAGTCATGAGCCAAGTCTAAATCTTGGCTATTTTCTAGAGCAGAGAACAAAAAACACAGTTTGTTCTTCCCACTGTCTTTTGAACCAAGCAGCAGATGTATTTTATTAGGCTCATTCTCAAACCAACTTACTAGGCTTGGTGAACAGCACCTTCCCACTATTCTTCTTAAGCATTGCTACTGTAACAGGTATCCCAGTGGGAAAACTGTATCTGTCAAAATTGTATCTGTTATCACAAATCTGTTATGGGATGTGAGATAATAATCCGCAAAATAAGAAACAGGTCACAGTTTTCCTGCAGTTTCATGAATCTCATGAAAGGAAGTCAATACTCTCCATGAACAACAAAATCATTCCTCTGCTACCCATTTCAGTGTGCACTGAACATATTAAATACTTCAGCTGAATTATCTGAATTTACTTATTTTGCCATAGCTTATTATTATAACCTCTGTTGAAACCTCTGCAATTGCCACTTACAATTTTATACTGTGAATAGGGAAAAAGATACAGACCAGTGAAGCATAAAGGTAAGTAAAAAATTCATCTAGATGATGAATTGGTGTATGTGGCTGGTTTTGTCTTATCTGAGTAATGACAGTTCAAACAAACAATAATCATTAAGTCACTCTGATCTGCCAAATGGGAACAAATATACTATGTATATTACATGTACTAATAGGATTATATGGCAGCTGCTGGTGGTATTTGTAGTTAGAAATCTATATAGAATATAGATGTTTTAGAGAGATGGTGCCAATTCTAAAAGATTTGTGTGGGCTACAAGTGCTTGTAATTATTATTATTATTTTTTAATTTGCTAATAACTTATGAACAACCGGTTTCAAACATTCTGTGAGCGTTTGTTCTTTTTTTTATGTTGTTGCTGCTTATACTATTAAAACTAGAGAATGTAAAGTTATTATTTTGATGTGAACTGAAAATGATTTTTCATAAAATTTAACATTTTTATCAGCTTTGGTTTTGCTTTATACCTGTACAAATGTAATTTATTTTAGCATTGAAAACCACATTTGCCTGTTTCTCGATTGTCTACATCATGTTATAATTGGTGTTTATGTAGAGTCAGGTACTTTTTGAACAGTATTAAAAAAATCCTGTGATATGACTTAAATTTTGATTTTTTTTTTCCTTTGAAATGCTTACAGCTATGTTTTCAATGCATTTTCCTGCAAACCAGGTGTGCATAAACACAAATTCTTAAGTAATATTTCTTGTTTTCTGTACTTCTAAAGGATTAACTTTATAATAATAGTTACATAATGTTCTAATATAATTAGATCCTATTCTCTTTCAAAATGAACACAGTATAATTGATGAGGTATACATGGATTGTCATGTCAGGAGGAAGTAGTAAAATAATTTAGTCTAGAATAAGACACACACAAAAAGCTGTTCAGTCAGAATTCCTACATCAAAACATTAATTCTGTAGTTGTAAGAAACCATATTACTCCTACAATTGCAGTATCACATCATATCCTGAATTACAAACAGAACATCAGAGAAAAATTTCTATATCCTTTACTACTTTGGTTTACAGTGGTCTGCTGTTCTTGCCACTAGAAATGAACGACTTACCTCAAATCTGTCTTCCTTCTGTTTCCAGCCAATGGATTTTGATGGACATTCCCTGCTAAAGGAAAAACAACAACAATAAAATTCCTCTTTAGAAATCTCTCCATGTCATTCCACAATCTGGTCTTAGACTGTCATGCATCTGGAATAAGATGCACTGCATACGGTAAAGCAACAGAATGTAAACTGCAGCCCTCAGATAAAAAACGTCATAGATATTATTTTCTAAATACATTTCCAGAGAGCCTGATGATGTTTTTTATTTGCTGTAGAAGAATTAAAGGGAAGAATTTCATGACAAAGTTGAAAGAAATTGGAAGTAACCATCTCCAGCTAAAAATAATGTGAATTCACATTGTGTCTTTGAACTGCCTAACAGTTCAAACCTCAAAGTACTTTCAGTGCAGTGAAACACACTGCTTTAGGTGAAGAATGTTTTAGCAAAAGAAACAGTACAATACTGTACTTTGGAGACAAAGATTTTGGAAACAACATGCACTAGCTTGCTTCACTGAAGTACAATGTTGCAGAATATTTATTTATTTGTTTGTTTGTTTGTTTTAAGAATATATGCAGGAGCACATCTTGGATTATTTTTGTTTGAAAAAAAAAATAGTTTTTGCCATCTGTATTCCCTTCTCTCAACTGTGTTTTTTATGAATTTCTACTATCAATACATTCTGACCTTCATATACTAATAAAACATCCCAGGTTTAATCACAAATTAGAGTTTACATAAGAGGAGAGGGGTAAGATTCCAGCTTATGCCTTCAGAAATATCACAGCACTTTTTGTGCTGAGCACTTTGGGTCATTTTCTTGAAAAGGTTTGTGTCTATTTTCCCTGTCTGGATTTTAATCTTTCTTTCATGTTTGGTCTATAAATGTCATCTGATACCAGAAGACAGCACTGCTATTGTTCCTACTAAAATTATTAGCAGTATTAATGATAATAATCATAATAATAACAACAACAATAACAACAATACATCATTTTGAATGTGGAGGGTTGTTTTCTAAAATGCCACTCCTAATCACACACACCTTATTTCAGCTATCTAGTTAGGTTATTAAGCACCAATAAGTAAAGTGTCCCTTAAGAATAAGAAAGAAAGTTCATGGCTTCCCTTGACCCTGCTTAGATGAACTAATGCATGTATTACTATAGTAGCTTCTTTCCTTCTCCCATCCACCTTCTGCTCACAGCAAGGACGGACCTTGGGAATCAGGCTGGAATTTTAAGAAATACAATCTGTCTTTGTGTCTCCTCAGGGCTGTTTAATAACTTGTTTTCCACTTGTAGGTGTTTAAGACCAAACTACACTGGAATGCATAAACCATTTGTTATAGAAAAAAGAATTAACTAGGTTGCTTTCACATATATGAAGACTTCTGTGATTTATTTACTATTTCTTTCAGGGATGTTCAACTTAAAACTAAATTCTGCTTTTATTTGTTTGTAAACCAAGTCTTACAATTTATTCAATATTTTTTATCCAACACAAAGCAGCTAACATGATTGTTCAGTGTGATTTCTGCAACAGGGTACTAGAAACTTTCCTTCTCATAACTTATCATATTTAACTCTTTCCCAAAGATAATAAACTAAAATAGTAAGCTAAAATCTACTCTGACAAACGTTGACTGGGTTTTATCACATATGTTATCTCTTTCCCTCTCTCTATATATGTGTGTGTAAAAGGAGGGAGACTTCAGAGTTGTGCCTGTTTAGTAAGGAATGCTTGAGTACTAGTCAGAAATACATGTGGTGTGTTATACACACTGCAGGCTGAAGCTTGGTCCAAAAGAAAGCAATTCCCAGGACTTGGATCTTCTCTATTAAGTACATTCAAGCTGAGCCACTATTCAGGTTGGTCCAGAGCTTCAATTATGAACATATTTAAAATAAGTATTTAAACAACAAGGATGTCAGTTGAATGTCAGCTTAAGATTCACTTTAGACTCACATGTAATGGTTTAGATACATCACTGTTGAATATGGAGAGGAAGGTGGAAATAGGATATGCACTTCTGAGAATCTCAGTTTAGAATTGAAAGGACACAAGTGACTTCTGAGGACAAAAACCACTACAAAGTGTTCACAAATTATGGTTCCAATTCAAGGCTACAAATAAAATGCCAGCAAGGTAAAATAAGAGAAAGAGATGTTCTTTGTCTATGTAGAAAGACTAAAACTAGCATATGGAATACTGAAATAAATTGACCAAAGGAAAAAAAAAAAAAAAAAAAAGAGGACACCAAAACCAAAAATTCAGTATAAGAATCAGAAATAAAATGTATCAGAAATATTTTCTGAGTTATTACTAGAAATGTAGTCTTTAGATTATGAATTCAGAAAGGAACTGAAGGGGCCAACACAACACTGGAGGCCCACCTGAAGGTAGACCAGTCAAAAGTGCTAAATACCACATTGCCAGGAAGCAGGCTGTGGATGAGAAAGCATTAAAGAGTGGGAGAAAAATCTTTTAATGATCTTAACAAGGTCAGTGGATTTCCGTGACAGTGTAATATTGAAATCCTGCCAAGAGCTATAAACTGTGTGAGACACCACTATTTCCTCCCAGATTAATTTGTTCCATTTCCTACTCAGCGTCTTTTTCTTTGTAATATCATGTCCAGAAAGATGCTGGATAGTTAGGTAATGGCCATAGAAAAATCTGTTATTAAGTTTGTGCACTGAAGTTGGAAACTCAAGGACTTGCCACACTCTTTGGGAAGACAAGGTTGGTAAGTATCACCCGTATGTGAATACCAAATGTCAGAAAACATTCAGCCAAACAGCAGACTCCACCAAGCTCCATCTTAAAGCAATATGAGAGAATGCCTTGGCTTGTGCCACTTGCAGTTTATCTCTGCTGCTGTCCAAGTGGCCCTGGGAGGCTTGGAATGAGGAGTTCATTTGGTTACAAAATACCAGGTTTTTTGGTTGCACTGCTGCTCCAACAGCAAGCAGCATCTGTTGAGGCTGGGGGAAAGGAAAATGATAGCCTGATTTTAACAAGATGCATGTGTCTCCACTGAATTAAAAAAAAAAAAAAAAAATGTAGATGAAAATCCGTAGCTGAACATGGTTGCAGAGAAGTCCCATCTGTGGCAAATACCCACAAAAATAAAGGGAAGCTCATCTGGCAAGAACAGCTTGAATTTAGTCCAAGAGAGTGCACATTTCTTGTACCATGCAGCAAAATTTTATTTGCCTGTAGCTTTGTTAAAACAGGCTGAATGCCAAAGGAAAGAGCAGAAAATATATAGGATTGGATAGAAAAGGGCAACTCTACTGTGATGGATTACATGAAAGGATAGGAATTACCTTTGCTCTATTATTTTGCTAGTTATCTGCTGATGACAGCCCATGGGATAGTGAGTTTCTAATTTCTTCATTGTCCTTTCACTACCTCGAGCAGGCAACAAATTCACAACATGATAACTGACAGAAGATATTTTATCATCTGATACTGCACTGATAACAGTTGCCTTCAAAACAGACGGAGATATAAGCAATGAGTCAACACTGGCTGAGAGGCAATATGCAGTCAGCTGAAAGAAGCAAAACACCACATATGTTTTACCAAACAAGGTAAAGAAATAGGTTACAGCACTATCAGCCCTGAATAATTTCACTGAAAATACTGATGATGAGTGTGAATTAGACTTATGTGTATGTAACAGATCAGAGTCTGATGCTGTGTTCAGAATGACTGACAGTGTAATATACTTTACAAATACTTGCTATATTTGTTTTTAATTAAAAAAAATCCATAGCAGAAGTTTGGCAGAGAATGTGTAGCTTTTGTTAATCTGTATTTTTTTCCCAGCCTCTATATTTTGTAATTGTCAATATTTATTTTTTAGTTTTTCTTCTCTTTGAATTTTCCTCAGAAATTTGTCTATAACAAAAAAAAAAAAAAAAAAAAAAAAAAAAAAAAGAATTCCATTGGAAATCTCCTACAACCTTTTTTATATTAATCAATCTTTGGAAATTTTACATTAGTATTGCCAGTGCTGGTTATTTTTTACCTAAACTAAAACCCAGACAAACAAATCCCAGTTATAATTAAAAAAATTGGAAAACAGACATAGAATTACTTATCCCATGACTAAGTTGGAAATTTATTGTTAATACAATTTGTGTTGGAGCTGGTAACAGCCCATATGCATCAACATGTGTAACATTCCTGGTAAGAGCTGAAAGGGAATAATTTCCTGGAGAACACTTGTTCATAGAAATACCATTCTTTCCTTCCTCTGCATAAAGACATAAGTAAATCCAGCACTATTCAGATTTACATTCAATTATGAGTTATTAGCAATATTTTTTTTGGGGGGGGAGGGTGCAGGGGAGAAAGGGATAGACTTTTAGTATTTTAATTCACCTATGATGCTGCAATAATGTAGCCAGACAATATCTAGAAAATATACTATTTCTTCACTACAAAGGGATAAACAAGTTTTCCAAAGGGCTGTAATTAATAAGTATGCTGTCATCGTGTAAGATCAACTCATGACTAGGAGTTAGA